TACATCTATCTATCTATCTATCTATCTATCTATCTATCTATCTATCTATCTATCTATCTATCTATCATCTATAAAGCCAAATGTATCAAAACAAAATTCAAATGGAACTCGTCTAATTAGCTCCAAAATACTAGTCGCAATCTCCGAGGGGGTGTGCGTCAAGAAGTATTGCACTGCTCTTTTAAGCTATCAGTTTACTTTTTCATTTCGTGACTCTGGAGTTCTTCCCGCAGGCTTTTCCGCTCCCCTTCGCTTGGCCTTCAGTGTTTATCTTCTGTTGCAGTGTCTTACTTTATTTAAGTTAGTCAGTTGGTCGGTCCGTCAATTGGTCAAACAATTTTAACGTCTAGTTTAACAGACATGTGACTTTGAACGAGACATCGATAAAAAAATAGAAACTTTAGTCAAAGAGCTGTGTTATGTCCTTTAATTTCGCACCTTTATTTTCCGCTTTTTCTATACTTTCTGCTATTGTAATTTTTGTGTTGTTTTCTACTCTTTCTTTTATTTCTTTTTTCACTCCATGGTTGTTGCTTCAGTTGTAATCACTTCCTTTACTCGTTTATCCTACATTCTATCGCTTCTCTATTTGTTGTCATGTATGAGAACAAATTATTTAAACCCACCTTATTTGTCACTTCATGCTCCTATTTCCATACAACTTCTTTTCACATATTCTTGTTTTTCTTTTCTTTCGCATATGCAAGCCTTCTTGTTGGTGTCCACACTATTGCTTAGCTCATTCTCCTTCAATCTTAAGCATTCCCATTTCCCTCACGTGTGTGCACTCTTCCTTCTTTCTTTTTTTTTTTACTTCTTACTACACCGATTTCCCTCTCAGCGTCTCAGAAAACATTCGCCACTTACACGCGCGCCACTACCGATATACTCCGACGGTGGCGCACTCTGTCTTCGTTTCGCCAGCCCACCCGAAACCGTCGTGTGCACTACGAAATAGCCCGCGTTCACCGTTCCGTGTAATGATCAAGGAAAAAGAACGTGATGGTGGCGCCGCCAGGCGCTGCGTTTTACGTAAACAAATTGAGTTGTTACCACTCCCTAGAGCCCCTGCTGGATCGCTGTCCGCCTTTATTTCTTTTTTTTTTTGCCTTTACTCCAATGTCATTTGGCTCGTTTTTTTTTATCGCTCACATCTTTTCGCACTTTTTTTTGTTCGCGTACTCTGCACTCGAAACACCGAAAAAGAAGACAAGCGTGCCCTGCTGCTGGTACTCTTCCGAACAACAAATTAACGGTATTTAGTCAGAACTAGCCGGTTCTTGGCCAATCCACCAGCGTGGGTGTCTGCCACAGTTTCCAGGCACTTCCTTCCTTCCTTCCTTCCTTCCTACTAAATGCGGTTGAAGCCGGTCCAGGCCACGCTGAAACGCCTCAATTTGCCACGTGTGGGTTCGCTCTCTTCAAGTCCTTCAGTCGTTAGAGAAGCTTTCAGTTGGTAGTCGGTGCCCGTCTCGGGTAAATCGGCGACTGTGGGATCGTGTCCCACCGATGGAAAGGGTTATTTCTCGTCTGCTTTAACTTTACTTCAGCCGCCTCAGTGGTCTGCTGATTATGGCGCTCAGCTTTTGACCCGCCGGTTGCAAGATCGAAGCGCGGCCATGGAAGCCGTATCCTCAATGAAGGCGCAAGCGCTGAGGCTTGTGTGCTTTTATTTAGGTGCACGTTATAGTAATCGAGGTGGTCGCGATTTCTGGAGCCTTCTTCTACGGCATCTTTCATAATCATAGCGTAGTTTGGAACATTATATTTACTAATTGTTAAATTATCGTTTATTCATTTATATATTTATTTCTTTATTTTTCGAATACTATCAGCCTTTCACAGGCCACTACAGGGAGTGGGTCAAAAGGTACCCACAGAAGTACTTTGTACAATAAATAAAACTAGACTTTAGCAATGGCAGCCAAAACAACAAAAAATGGTAAGCCTCCTAATCAAGAGAGAAAATGATTGAGATATACAATTACTTCTACGTACCTCTTTATTACTACACTACCATTAGAGACAACAATTATTGTACCATATATTTCCTTGACCTACATGTATATTGGATTCATTTGGTTGCGCCTAACAAAGAAATGGGCTCCTCGTAGAAAAAAAAATATTGGCTTCATTTCTTCTTCGCTTCTGGTATTTTCGGGCAGTTCATCGTCGCGATTTTCACAACAGTTCTTTTGCAAAAAGAACTGTTGTGAAACTGTTGTGTTGTGTTGTGTTGTGTTGTGAAGAGAAGCGAGCACCGTTTCTAGGTTTTGATGATGCAGTACTGGCGCCAAGCCGGGCACGTAGGGAAGGGTATATTTGATCCAGTAACGTCGTCGGCTATTACTTTCACTAACTGTTGCCTTCCTCATTTTTAGTGGACCGGCGGCGAGAAGGGTCATTTAGGCAATTTCTGTGGTGCATGCCCGTTTTTATGTTGGACCGTGACCACGTGACACGCCATGACGACATTACACGCCAACCAAAAAAAAAAGCCCCTATAAGGTCTCGCACCTAATACGTCCGAAATGCTCATAGCGACCGCGCCGGAGTGGCAAAACAATCGCGCGAAGGGGCCCTCCAAAGCGTTCTTCGCCCAGCGTGAAGAAAGCAGCACCCCGTGCCACAAAACTACCGACGTTCTGCCGCGAGGATGTGGAATTATGCGCTGCTTGAACCAGCACAGTTTGTTCACGGAGTCCGTAACCCGATTACCGAGCATCCGTCACGTCCCAAGAGGGCGCTGCGTGCGCAGTATACGGACCTCGACATTTCTGCATGTGTGCGTTCGTGCACACATACTCGCACGTGCTTCTAGGGCGTCAGCATCTTTGGGGTAGCGTAGGCATGGCTTTTATCCGCTTATCTCGCCTCGACGCCGCTTCCGGTTCCTTCTGTATGCTATATTTACTTCCGCTTTGGTTCTCCTTGACGGAAGAAGGATGCCAAAACAATTTATTCTTTCATCAAGTTCACTTCTTTTTTTTTTTTGTCGTTCAAGCTTGGAAGCCTGCGCCGCATGCCACAAGCTTGCTTTTTCGGTGAAGCTGTTATAGTGTGCCCTGTGACATCGACGTCATCTTCGTACTAGTAGTAGTAATCATCATCAGTATTGGTAGTAGTAGCAGTAACAGAAATAATTGGTGTAGTACGCGTCACGCTAGACATGTGACCAGAGGGGGTAGTGAGTAAAGAAACCAGTAGAATGATCATGATGATGCTTCAAGTAACGGTGATGATAATCATTATGACCATCATCATTATGACTTTTGTAGCGAAAGTCAATATGGTCAATTCAGTTTTACTGTGTCGTGATTTTCACTCTCTGGAAATGGTTGATTTTGTTGATTATTTTGTAGTTGTGGTCGTTGTTCATTTGCAATAAAAAATATGGGAAAGTCGGCTAAGTTAAAGCCGGCTATCCCATCATCATAGTAGATGTATTGAATAAAACACAAAGGCATAAAAATCGAAAAGTAATAAAAAATAAATACAATCAGGAGCACTCTGTAGATTTACAATATACGGTGTACAAAGCATCAGCATAGTCTATCCTCACATTCCAGCAAAGGCAGCGTCATCATATTGCGGATAGAGTTCACAAAAGACAGCAACAACTGTGTGAGTCAAACCAACTTTTAAGTGAATGAATGCGGAGGAAAAAGCAACTCTTATTTTTATTTTACTTTTTTCATTAGAAGTGTTTTTTCACTCGAAAGCAAAGTGACGTGCAAGAAAAGGCTGTTTGGCTACGCTTTATGACGAACCCGCGACTTCGGGACGGGTTTTATGTGCTGTCGATTCAGGTGGTATGTCCGAGTCCAGTTTCCTGCACGGCAAAGCTACTACTTGCCATCTTTTCTTGCGAAGCTCATTGCGTTGTTAAGTTTTTCCACATTGTGGAACACACCCTCACCACCAACCTAGGCACACGTCGACGGAAGCGAAATCTGAAATGTTTCTCGCAGGACATGTTTTTAAAGACGATAGTCTTTCTTTGGGACCTTCGACGTAAAAATTTTGGTCTGTCTGTCTGTCTGTCTGTCTGTCTGTCTGTCTGTCTGTCTGTCTGTCTGTCTGTCTGTCTGTCTGTCTGTCTGTCTGTCTGTCTGTCTGTCTGTCTGGCCGTTTGTCTGTTTGTCCAGCCATAACGGTACCGGGCACTTAAAACGACATTCGCGGATACCCCAAACGGCCGACCCCATCCGCAGCGCCCACCAATGTTGCTCAAGATTCAGCGTTCATACCTGTGTGATTGTCAATCAAAAATCAATTATCGCGCATATTTGAGGCACCACAGCAACACGTATATATTTGTATGTGTGTCTTTTACTAGAAAAAAAACATGAGTTATTCTAAGGACCGTAGCGTGCATCACGTGGCGCTGACCATGCAACGCTTGCACGAAGAAGGAAGTGTTTCCAACGCTTTGTTAAGACGAGACGGTGGTGGCCCCTACCCGTCGCCGTGCGTTCTACACCTTATCGCCTCTGAGACGGGCGCGCACGCCCGTCTCAGAGCCACGCGTTTCGTTTTCCGAGATAACTGCCAGATAGCGCTCATGTCTCACATGTGACGTGACTTGGTGCGCTCGTTGGCCTCTTCTGCACGCTCGAGGCACTCTAACGCCACGCCTTCAGAATACCATTCACCAACTTTTTTGCGCAGAACATCGAAATAAACGTTTTGTTCAATCTCTCCAGACGCAAGACTATCGTCTTTCGACGACATTTGCAGAATAACATGCAGATATGGGGCCAATTTTTTTTAGCATAATTCGTGTGGTATAATAAATCACGGTGCCACGGCCGCCATTTCTCTGTGCACCGTTCACTGGTTCCTAAATAGTTGGGTAAATATATGCACGTGCAGTTCTACATACACTTTAGTCTTTTAATATGTGAAACTAGAAAACTTGACCACTACTACTTTACAGAACTGCTGAACTAATTTTACTAAACCTGTTTTCTCAGACTCTTTGTCCTCTCTGTGCGCAGGTGCTGGGATCCAAGAACGAGTACCACTTCGTTCACCGCGCCGTGCCCCGGGCGCGCACCAAGCGAAGCATCCCGCACATGCGCAAACTACGAGCCGACCCGCAAGTAGGTCTTCTTTCAATTGCTATTCACTGAATACACATGCTGGCCTCGACAGGGTGGGAACGGCACATAACTAGCGTCAATGGAAGAGAAGGGAAAACAAATGAGAAAGTCAGGGAGGTTAGTGCTTGATTGGTCACCCTGAATCTGCGGGGGGGGGGGGGGGGGAGATGAGCCAGTACTGTACTTACACGATTTTAAGTGCACCTGAATTTAGGTTGAACCCTCAAATCCGACAGCATTTTTTTAATGCGCAAGAGCGTTTCATCAAGGAAACTAACTTACACAATCGATGAACTGATTGCACGTTGGCTCCCCTCATAGTTGGAGTAAGCGCCCGTCCTGCCAAGTAGTTCTCTCCTGTCTTCCTGAAAAGTAGCCCTGAAACATTTTATGTATCTGTATCAGCAACTTCAGAGATTCCAAGAGAAGGGAAACAGAAAGTTAAGTGGGCACTTGAGATCAGGAAGTTTGCGGGTATAAAGTGTCAGCAGCAATCACCGGGCCGAGTTTACTGGTGGAACATGGGAAAGGTCTTTGTCTTGCAGTGGGCGTAGTCAGGCTGATGATGACGATGTAAAAAGATAAAGATTCTGGTGAGCTAATATCGCTTCCTTGCAGTGCTCTGCAGATGCACATACAAGCAAGTTTCACGGGGATAAGCGGGGTTATTTAAATATTCGTGGATTTTTGCTGAAAATGCAAGTTGTACGCGAGAAAATGCGGTATGTGTTACAGGTTAGTCCGAATGGACACTTAATGTCGTAAACATGCCACAACGTCCCTAATTGCCCGTTTGTCCTGCCCTAACTGCACTGATACTTCCTCTTTTAGTTTAAGTCAAGCCAGCAGTGTTCAATCTAAAATTTAGATAAAATGGGTTGACCTACAATTGTTTAAATGAGGTAATGAATAGGATGGAGAACAAAAAAATAAGAACATTAGGAATCGGTAATCGAGACTCAGCACAAACACAAAGAGCAATAACTGTTCACAAACGTTCGTGAAGTCCGGTCGCCTTCAGATTGCGCTATAGGACTTCCGTGACCCTGTCCTTTCACGAATGCGAACAGCCCACGTCACACTATCTCGTTTCCTCAAAGTGTAATTTAATTACTTATTTATTTATTCACTTATTTATCAAATACTGGAGGCACGCAGTCTATGCCGGGAGACCAACAACATACAGCTAATACGTCTGGACGAAACAGATATACAAAAACGATGTTATTACAAAAAAAAAACATGGTAAACATCTTTGGCAAAACGTGGCAAATGAAGCAATGGTAAAAATTATTGCAAATAAGTTATGCGGAGACCGGCGTGGTGGCGAAAGGGTTACGAAAGAGGTAGAAAACAACCAACCGTTTGTAGCACGAAGCCACAAGAAAATCCACACTTCCCTGTGGCTTGTGCTACAAATGGGTGGTTGTCTTTTATCCTTTTTTACCTCTACCGACACCACAAGGGTTTCCGCAGAACTCATGTGCAATACTTGTGTCCATATGCTTCGTGTTGTCGATGAATTCGTCCTCTCTCTGTCAACTGCTGTCTTCCTTGTTAGCTCAATTGACAGAGCGATTGCCACGGAAGGGCGTTGGTTTCGGATTTAAACCCCGGACCAGGACAAATTCTTCGGCAACTAAAAAGCTTTTATCTCTGAGAAATCCGTACGGATTTTCTTGTGCTACAAACGAGTGGCTGTCTTCCTTCCTTTCCTAATAGTTATAACACAGAAAAAAAATTTAGTGATTTTTAAGAGACAAGATTGTGCATTCGTACATGCCACACCCCACAGCGGGCTAGACAGCGAAGTTTCATTGTGTGATTTCACGCCCGGATGGCGTGAAAGTATCAAATTGAGAAAACAATAATTACTGCAAAACAGCAGAAAACAACAGCGACCTGAGAAATCAGTGAAATTCGTACTGCCACCCAATCCAATGAGAACTTTTTAATAGATGAAAGAAGGCACATGAAAGTCCTGGCTATTACATTAGACAATCTCGATGAAGTGTTCAGTCAATAATTTCGTTTTACCTAATAGAAAACTATCTTTCTTTTACATGCTTAATATTCACAGGCGTTTGACTTAACAGTGCAGGAACAATCATTTTGAAAGCGGTCTTATATGTGCGTGGTTCTGTTACAGAAGGAAAGAGCAAGACTACTACTGTTTTATGGATGGAGCATGCGCCTAAGTGTTAGGTTACCACCAAGTCTAGGTTGGCGGTAATACCATTAGACGTACTGGCGTCGGCCCAGAGGAGCTGCTTCACAGGGCTAGCGTTATGCGCGCAATGACTGAGTAGTTTCATGAGTTTATGCGAAACACGAGGTGCTGCCCCGGGTCGCAAGATTACGCAAACGTGGAAGCGTGCATATCGTCTCGGAAATTGAAGTAGTCAGGACACGGGGCCCACGGTAAAGGCGAAGTTGTGTTGTATTACGATGCATGGTCCTTCTAGTTTAACCCACTGCATTGAAGATCGCGAAGTCTACTACAAACTGGAACTTTTAATCATAGGGTATATTCTCGTAGTAGTGAAAAATTCAATTTCTTTCGCAAGGACCAGGACTCTTTCGTCTCCGGCACTTCATCGTGGTGATAGATACCACACAGTTTGTTAATGACCAAAGCTAGCTTTCATGAAATGATTCAGATGTGTTGCTACGAAGCTTCAAGAAACGTTCCGGATGAATGTTAAGGTAACGTTATGACGTTACAAAAGATGTTCCTCGAACAAGGGATGCCTGGATTTCTAGCCAGAGATTGACGGAATACAAGTAACAACTTCTGGACAGGTCAAGATTAATCAATTTTGGGTAAAGTTTTAGCAGTTTTTTTTCACCGCAAACAAAATTTAATTTGATGGCGAATTGGATTTGAATTTTGCAGCAAAGCGTACATAAAAAATAATCAACATTTTTAACCAGCACGCACTCAATCACCGCTGAAGCACCTCGAACAGATGGCTGTCGAGGGGACCTGCGATTTGTGACACCTAATCGGTGCTTGCCGCGCGTATGTTTTTGTTCATTTTTACTGGGCCAGTGTGGTGAGCAGGGGTACTTTCCCAAGTTTTGTGACACACAACTTGCTATGGTCAATGCTTGCGTGTGTAGTAGATAGAATGTTATACGAACACAAAGAAAGACAAAAATCGGTATGAAAGAAACGGGGAAAAAAGTCAATCACGTGCAAGTAGTGGACACAGAAGAAACTAGTTGCTTTCAAAAAGTCTTCGCTTCGCCAATTACGTTACCTTGTTGAATGAAGTGGAATTTTAATGAAGTATGGTCGAATGAGGCGGATGGAAGTGGGTTGAATGAAGTGGGTTGAAAGAAGTGAGATTAAATGAAGAGGGGTTGAATGAAGAGGAACGAAGTGGCTTTAATGAAGTATGATTTGAGTGAAGTGGCATTAAATGAAGTGGCTTGAATGAAGTGTAATGAATGAAGTGGAGTTGAAAGAAGAGAAATTTAGTGGGTTGAATGAAGTGAGATTTGAATGAAGTGGAATTGAATGAAGTGGAATTGAATGAAGTGGACGGAAGTGGACGGAATAAGGTGGTAATTGAATGAAGGAGGGTTGAATGAAGAGAGTTGAATTATGTGGGTTGAATGAAGTGAAATTTTAGTAAGTGTGATTTGAATGAAATGAAGTCGAATGTAGTACAATGAAGTGGTTCAACGACGTGGGATTTCAGTTAAGAAGGTGAACAAAGTGAGAGGAGGTGCAGTGTGTTTAGTGGTGTGTTGTAAAGTCGTGAGTAGTGTTTTGTTCGTCGCCTAAAGGAAGGCGCTATGCTACGGCATCGTGGGGCATTATGACACATGACGTCACGCCTGTATTTGTGCCTTCATGATCACGTCAAAAACGTTTGTGATCTGTGACGCCGTGATCACGTCATATACAAATATCATCAGGTGACGGTTTGCATCACTCGTTGCTGACACTGCTGGGTGGTCACTGCCGATAGTGAAATTTCCCGTTTGATGAGACATTTTGGGCTTTCGCCCTAATAGAGGCAGAAATTTGAACGGGTAGTGTGCGCCTTCCTAGATTATGCAATAATTTTGCGAGTGCTTTTTGGTTTGATGCGAAAGGAAGGAGTAAATCAGAAAATTCAACCTCCACATTATACGGCGGCGCTTTCCCGTCTAACAAACATGGCTCTCCATTGCGTGAAGCCTGTCATGCGAAAGTTTGAGCCATTGTTTCCCCCGTGCGGCCAATGGGGCATTCGTGGAGCACGCACCACATGCGCTCGAGCGCACGACCAACTTTCCTGCATACAAAGTAGTTTTGTTTAAACACACACATTTTTAAAGCACCATGCATGGTAGCTATAGTATTACGAGTTTCGAGTCAAACTCAAAACACTGTGACCTTTCATCGCTCTCATTGTGAGTGATCTGCGCCTCGCAAGCAAACATTGTAGCCACGTGGCATCATCGATTGAACGATGAAAACGTCTAGTCGAGTGCAGTACATGAGTGGGCAGCCGCGCCAGACTGATAGCACGACTTCTCACTTCTTTGTTGTCCACCTCCTCGCAACGTAATTGATATTGCTGCAGGCTACTGAAAGTGTCACTTGGTGTATTTCTAACCATGCACAGAACTTATACAAACATGATTAGTACCGAGAAAGAAACTATAATTAGCTTCGTCGCAACGCCATTAGCCCCCACCTCACAGAATAGAGACGGAAAACTTTCTTTTTTCTTTTCTGTGGAACTAAGAATTGGCATTTAGCGTAATAATAATTGATGGGTTTTAACCTCCGAATGACTCGTAGCGTTGCCACGTCTACAGGACATCTCTCGACTGCAGTAAGTCTTCACGTAAGGAAAGTTGTCTATTAGTTACGACCGGGACTTCCGTAACTATAGCATTACCACAATGCGAGAAATGACAGCACTCTAATGTTCATAGACTTTTTGTTTAGATGACCCATCTTGCCTGGTTAATGCAGTGAAGCATTCACGGCGGAAGTC